AATATGATTTAAATTCAAACAAACTATTGTCCTGATAAAAATACATTTTCCTGCGTTCCTCCACTGCTGAAAGACACGTATAAGCACATTTGGAGTTCTGCCCCTAATGGCGTTGGTGATGTTTGTATTTTTCCAGTGTCTGGAAACTTATGGGACATATGTACATCCGAAAACGAGAAACGGCCAACAGCGTAATGGAAATACATCCTTTTTTAGGCCATAGAAATCTGATATATGTTAAAAGCATACGGTCGAGTTTATAGCGCCGGATTGGGTCCCATGTGGCGAGTGTCTTTGTTCGCCCAAAAAAAAAAAAAAAATAGTTGTTTGTCCAGAGCGTTGTTCAAAACACGACATGTGTAGATCCAGTGATAATCCCGTGGGGTTTACGAAAATGCCGCACTCGTGAATCAGATGGGGCCTGCAGATGCGGGGCAGATGGTTCATCTGCTTGGCCATGGTGATCCATCTAACTACGGAGCGAAGTGTGACTTCACCACCGAAGAATGCTTGCAACGTCCTGGACAACCAAACTGTATTGCAGATGTTTTTAAAAGCATGCAAGCCCCGAAGATAACTTATTCCAAATATACAGAGGCAGTCATCTTTTTTAGTTACATAATTAAAAAAATCCATGGTTGGTTGGTTTTTATGGCTATGGTTTTTACAGGATGAGGTAACCAACATCAAGCCCAACCCAACCCTTAGTCGCCTCTTACGACATGCCTGGTAGGGTGCAGTGTCGCTATTCTTTGCTTCCCGTGAGGGCCCCGGTGACACTTTGGGAGAGAACTAAACAGGCTCCAGTGGACTAAGAGGTGAGGAAAAGACGCTGGCGTTGGATAGGGCACACACTGAGAAAAAAGGAGAACAGCATAACTAGAATGTCTCTGCATTGAAACCCACAGGGGCATAGGAATAAAGGAAGGCCAAAAAACACATGGAGAAGAGAGCTGGAGAATGAGGTTAGAAAGATTGGGAGGACATGGGGAGAGCTCCATGCAATGGCGAAGGATAGAACGACTTGGCGTGGTAAGGTTGAGGGCCTATGCTCCATTGGGGGTTAGAAAGGCAGAAGAAGAAGAAGAATAAAAAAAAAAAACGGGAGCGTGTAACTTCGGAGGAGGACAGAGAGAAAGCTAACCAGACAAGAACATTGTCAGCTTTTTATCGTGCCGTAAGGCAGGGCTGAACAGGCCTTGTTTGGCAGCTAGCTTATGGGGAAACAGCAACAGGCGCAAACATTCGACATTGCTCTTCTGATTAGGCAGCTTATGTTTCATGCTTTGTTCCAACGTATTAATGTTACCTTTCCTTTGGAGTAAATAAGTAGGCCGCGTCATTTTGCATGGGCAACGCGTGGTCTGTGCAGTGCCACCCAGGTTTTGTTCTGTGAACATGAGGTTCCTCATCCCTGGCCTTATATGGTCTTGGAATCGCTGACCATCCCCTAGGATGTGATCTCATGCCACCCCTACAGAGCTGTCACATGGAAATATGGAAAAGTGCCATGAAATAACGCTGACACGTCATGGATGAGTATCCACAACACACTATTGTAAACTCACTGTGCTACATAATTGGTATATTGTGCCAGGATTCTCCTTGTGTGATGTATGGCAAGCCGCTCTTATCTCACCACATCTTGAAACATAATCCTGCCGCATTCCATTGCTTGTGTTCAGGAAAGTATGAACTTTTAACAACTCTTGTATACATTATTCCCACAAATCGTGTAGACATTCCTCGGTGTTTGTTCCTAGAAAGGGATTCCGGCCGTTCTGTGATGCGTAAATCGGTGGCAGATAGCGTCTGTGGGCGTCAGATCCCGGACATAATTCATGTTGATGGTCGTTTCTTGTGGAAAGCTGTCACTGACTGTGAATGCTTGAAGTTATTATGACTTGTATGTTTATGTGATAGAATATTAATAGTCTACGTTCATGACTGTAAGGTTCTTGCACCCCACCCCCCCCCCCTTCTTCTCTGTTGTCCTTCTGATTATGTGGCAAAGCGTCACGAGAGGAGTTAAATGTAGTTTCTTGTCCCTTACTACTAGCTTCATAGCTTGTGTTAACGTGATATTGTTTTTTTTTTGTATCTCTTTTACTCGATCCATCCACTTCTTTCTTGGTCGGCCTATTGACTTGTAGTCTGCTATTCTTCTGTAGTACACTAGCCGCTGGCAGATCTTGTTCCATTCTGACTAGATGACCAAGTCATTTGATTCTTTGCCATTATGGGAAACCATTCACAGAAACGGTACCTAGCATTGTTCTAAGCCTTACTTTGTAACTCTGTCTCTTCTACCGACCCCGCCCCCACCCCTTGCGCCATTAAGGTTCCTGTTTGGTGAATGTAATGTGGCCACTGCTAACCACGGGAGTATTACGTGATGCTGCCCTAATCTTTTCCACGGTACGATTCTTTTACCACTGTCTGAAAGCCAACCCAGAACAGTGTGTTGTGAAACGACGTCATTAATTTCAGAGCCACAGAACCGCACACTACCACCACTGCTGCTACTACTACTATTACTACTACTACTACCACCACTACTACTACTACTACTACTACTACTACTACTACTACTACTACTACTACAACTACTACTACAACTACTACTACTACTACTACTACTACTACTACTACTACTACTACTACTACTACTACTGCTAAAGAAGTTAGTTGCGTATCCCTTACAGGACGTTGCAGAATCAACCCCAGCATTTATTGGCTTTGTGGTTTTTCTAGGCACATTTTTAAAATTCAGTAGTTTGCCATTGCCACTGTCGAAACCAACCCAAGACAAATCGTCTGCAGCTGGGATCGAACTCGGCACCATGGCATTATTGCTAATCGCGTTTACTACACTATGTCTAAGCCACAGACAACCGACATGCAGGGACTAGAACCAACCCTAACAGCCCCTACTACTACTACTACTACTACCACTAGTTTGCCATTACTACTACTACTGATACTACTACGAAACTATACTACACGCACTACGCACTACTACTACTACTACTACGTACTACATTTTACTATTAGGAGACTACTACTATTACTACTACTTCTACTACTATTATTATTATTACTACTACTACTACTATTATTATTATTACTACTACTATTATTATTATTACTACTACTACTATTATTATTATTACTACTACTATTATTATTACTACCACCACCACTACTACTAGATTTCTGATGGTGCTACTTTCGCCACTGCTACTTTGACCACTCCTAAGCTCAACCTGCAGTGTAAATTCACATATAAATTGTACCGGCCGACAATCCCATCAACGAAACGACCAAATTAGTGAAGGCTCATCGGTTCGCCGATCGTCAAATATGGCCCTAGTTCCACTCCAGAACTCGCGTCTGCCGCCCAGCCAGGCTGACCAATTGTCTGATTCCTGTGTTGCGTCTGCCCTGCTACCACATTCCATCTGCGAGTAAACCTGGTCATGCATGGCTTACTCAAGTACCAAGAGCGAATCTACTAAAGTCTTCACAGTTCGTGGGTTTGGTACCACCGTCCAGGTCCCACTAATGGTACTTGAATTAGCAGTTTGTGGCGGAGTCATTGAAGCCATTACTGTTGAAGAAAGAGGGAGGGTTCGCTAGATTATAACACAATTGACCTTACGCTTTTGAGTCGCCGATACTGGCTCGTGGAAGAAGCGTACTAGACACATAATTGTGTAGACCAGTTGGCGCTGGGTGGATGATATGGTTTTCATCAGGCCGACCGCCTTAACCTCACATAATATTTGTAGTATCCATTTTAGACTGTCAGCCTGGAATCCTTGGTCATTTTACGAAAACAGTCCTCATGGAAAGAGCATCATGTTTGCCGAGCAGCATAGCATCTTCTGCCAGAATTACCCCCCCCCCCCCCTTTTTTTTCCCCCCTTAACATTTTTAATTTGCAGAACTGAGTCGACCAGTCAACGAACCTATCTGAGATGTTAAACTTGCTGAATTAGGTCAGCCTGGCTTGGTTGTAAACTTGCTGGATTTGAGCCAGTCAGTCAGCGAACCTATCTGAGATGTAAACTTGCTGAATTGGGTCAGCCTGGCTGAGATGTAAACCTGCTGAACTGGGTCATCCATTCAGTGAGCGAACCTATCTGAGATGTAAACTTGCTGAATTGGGTCAACCTGGCTGAGTTGTAAACTTGCTGAAATGGGTCAGCCAAGTCAACGAGCCTAAGAACCTATCTGAGATGTAAACTTGCTGAATTGGGTCAACCTGGCTAAGACTTCACAACTTGCTGAATTATTCAACCTGGCTGAGATGTCAGCTTGCTGAATTGGGTCAACCTGGCTGGGATGTCAGCTTGCTGAATTGGGTCAACCTGGCTGGGATGTCAGCTTGCTGAATTGGGTCAACCTGGCTGAGATGTAAACTTGCTGAATTGGGTCAACCTGGCTAAGACTTCACAACTTGCTGAATTATTCAACCTGGCTGAGATGTCAGCTTGCTGAATTGGGTCAACCTGGCTGGGATGTCAGCTTGCTGAATTGGGTCAACCTGGCTGAGATGTCCTATTTGGGTGGGTGGGGTTGTAAGAATAAACCCACTGCCCTCTAACAAGCATGTCATAAAATGCGACTTACTGGCTGTTTGCTGCAATCTGATTGAAAGGACGTGTGCATAGCTGTTAACCACAACATAGCATGCGAGCTGACCTAATAAGGACAAATTCAAAAGAAGATAATGATAAACTGATACACTAATGTTTTTGTTTTTATGGTTATATTGCTGTACGAAATCTGGTGCATAATCTCCTAAAAATGAGTCAAGAAATATGGTTGGCAGGTTCGTTTCAGTTCACGGTTACTATAGCTTTTGATGTTTATGTTGTTCAGTGTGTCCTTCTGTCTTTCTACTTCTTTCTATGAGTGCTGGTCAGTACATTGTCTGTTTGTTTATTTTATATATATATAAAATATTGGTTTTTGGTTGCAGATAACAGAACAAGATGAAACAGTTCAGTATTTTGTGTGTGCTGCTGCTGGTAATGGTAGTCCTGCTGTCTGTCTTTCTGGGCAGCACCGAGGCCAAGAAGAATAAAGGCAACAGGAAAGTGAAAGCTGGGGGTATGCAAGTGTTTGTCATTTTATATTTATCTTTATGTTGTACAACTGGTTGATTTGTGGGACACACAGAATTGATCTTATGTTATACGCCTGGTTGATTTGTGGGACACACAGAATTGATCTTATGTTGTACACCTGGTTGATTTGTGGGACACACAGAATTGATCTTATGTCATACACCTGGTTGATTTATGGGACACACTGAGTTGATCTTATGTCGTACACCTGGTTGATGTGTTGAACAAACAGGGTCGATATTTATGTTATACAATGTTGTACACATCGTTGGATGTGTGGCACACACAGTTCATGTTGTATGGTAGTAAAAATTTTGTGTTACCATAAATTATGAAACAAAAGTCATTTCATTTTATAGCACTAGAAAATGTTTGCAGGTGAAAAGAAATTTAAACTAATACTAAACTTACATTTTTAATTCCAATGTCAAATCAATACTCATGTGTGCAGCGGAAACGTAAAGATCAACTAATCAACTACAAACATTCATTAACTGGGTCCTGCGCAGAATAAAGGGAATTAAGTGGTATGTTTGAATCATTAATTTTAAGCTTCGGGATGAAACTAAAGAAGTTCCACTGGACCAAGAGGTGGAGAAAAGATAATAGCGTTGGATATGGCACAGGTAGAGAAAACCTGAGATCTCATAACTATAATGTTTGTGCATTGGACCCAGAGTGGCAGACCCAAACACATGGAAAAGGGAGCTAGAGAGGGACCTGATTTTATGCCCAGTTCATGTTGTGTGATTCACAAAGTTGATATGCTTGAGACATGTTGTTATCACCGCTGGAACCCAACGCCCTGTTGGAGACTGGATGGGTGTGCTAAGCCCAGGTGCGCTAATGTTGATTGTCAATCATGAACATAACTCCCCCCCCCCCCCCCCCAAACCAACTTTACACCTCTCTGCATCCAAATGTAGGTCACTGATTGCCTTCCTCATTGGCTGTTTTCTCTGTGGGACTTAGAATGTGTCAGGAGAACAGTTGCGGTGACAGTGATAGGCTTTTGGGAATATAGGGCTAGACCTATATTTCATAGATCAATCGGCACCGGTAAGTAATGTGATCAGCATCACGTCAGCTGCCTTCGCTTCCTGGGACTTAACCTGATACCTATTTGAGATTGGGTCGACCTGGGAGCCAAGGTCAAATTTGAAGAAAACAAGGTACAGCACCCTCCGGATTTAAATTTATGATCCTTGGAATCCACAAGCAGGCGTTTAGCCTAAGAGCATCGGAAAACATATTCATTAAAGTTATAAAGAAAAATTATTGTTCGTAGGTTGCCACAACATGAGGGAACTGTATTAAAGGGTCGCAGCATTAGGAAGGTTGACAGCCACTGCCATAGCGGTTGGTTTGATAAGGAAGGCATGGCAAACTAAGGAGGCAGAGATAAACCAGTATGAAAGAGGCAGATTTAATTAATTAATTTATTTGTTAAGCTTTTTTATCTTAAATTTTTTTTTTAATGCTTTAGCTGGCTGTTGATTTTGGCAGAAAACTCTGGTTCTTCAGCCACCTCTGGATTTTAGTTTTGCTCCAGAACCAGTGTCACGTGCACATTGTTTCTATAGATCTGGCGTTTTTATATGCAGAATCTTGGTTCCTTGCCTTTCAGGCAAAAGCACTGTGAATTTTTTTTCTCAAACCCAAGAAGTCCACTCTTACAACATACTTGTTGGGGCGGCAATGAGTATCTCTCTCCCCCCCCCCCTCCACAATGGGGCTCCGGAACCCACACAGGGAAACTAGTTTATATTTCTCCCTCTCTTACTTAATTTGCTTTTTTACTGTACCCCTTACTGTATTTTTCCCATTGCATATTTGGGGGGGGGGGGGGGGGGTTGGGTTGCTGGCTGTTTAGAAGCTCTGTTGTCTTGTCCTATAAGTTTTCCAGTCACAGTTTATGATTTCTTTAGTATGCTGTCGATAAAGACTTTGGTCGAAATGTTCCTTAAGTTTTTGTGCATGTCTTTGCCACTCCCTCTCTTGAGATATCAAGCCACATTTTATCTTGTATTAGGCACTTTTGTTTCAATGTTCTTCTTCTCCCCTGCTTCTGCCCTTAAAAGGATACTTGGCACATCGTGTTGAGGTTTACAGATAGACTGTGATGTCTGGGCCTTTCTGCTCAACACATCCGTTTTCAGCAAACTCCTATTCAGTTGCCTTTCAGGACATGCTTGATTGGGGGGGGGGGGGGGGGGGGGGGGCAAGGTTTGAATCTTTGTTTCTACCCAGAATGGAGCCCTGGGATGGAAACAGTGAATTGTTAACTGTTCTGTGGCTACTGTTGTTCAATATGGTCTCAGTGTTCCCCTTTCTGAAACATGAAGCTGACTGGGACATTTGAGTTCAGGGCTCTGGAACCTCTGAGTTAAACATCTTGTAGAGCTGACTGGCACATTTCAGTTTAGGGCTCTGGAACCTCTTGAGTTAAACATCTTGTAGAGGTAGGGAGAGCTAAGCCAAGTCTGTAGAGAAGCTTCCCCCCCCCCACCCCCCCCCCCCCCACACTCCAACTTTTTCCTAATCTACACAATTCTCTTTTCAAGTTTGGGTTTTTACATATCTTGTCAACAAAATTTGTATATTTATTTGCCATTCAGCACATTACTGAGCACTCAGTCTAAAGACAGCTTAGGGCCCTCCTTCTTCTTCTTAAAATCCATGTCATGTGGTGTTGTCATGTCTATCCACAACCTTCTGTCTCGTGTACTTTCAATCAGCTCTGGCACAGATGATGTTCCATGCCATGTCACACTGTCCAGCATTTGTCATCTCGATCTCCCTCTGCCTCTCCTCCCATCCAACTTTCCTACCATCAGAATGTACTCTAATTTTATCTTTCTCATAACATGACCAAACAAAGAGCCCTCCCTCCTAGACAATTTTAAATGGACTTAGCCCATGGTAATTTTGTTCATATTGGCATCCTTGTATGCTTCTATTTCTTGGTTCTCAGCCACTATTTCTTGAGGTTCTCAGCCACTGTTTCTTGAGGTTCTGAGCCACTGTTTCTTGAGGTTCTCAGCCACTGTTTCTTGAGGTTCTCAGCCACTGTTTCTTGAGGTTCTCAGCCACTGTTTCTTGAGGTTCTCAGCCAATGTTTCTTGAGGTTCTCAGCCACTGTTTCTTGAGGTTCTCAGCCACTGTTTCTTGAGGTTCTCAGCCACTGTTTCTTGAGGTTCTCAGCCACTATTTCTTGAGGTTCTCAGCCACTATTTCTTGATATTCTCAGCCACTATTTCTTGAGGTTCTCAGCCACCATTTCTTGAGGTTCTCAGCCACCATTTCTTGAGGTTTTCAGCCACTATTTCTTGAGGTTCTCAGCCACTATTTCTTGAGGTTCTCAGCCACTGTTTCTTGAGGTTCTGAGCCACTGTTTCTTGAGGTTCTCAGCCACTGTTTTTTGAGGTTCTCACTGTTTCTTGAGGTTCTCACTGTTTCTTGAGGTTCTCACTGTTTCTTGAGGTTCTCAGCCACTGTTTCTTAAGGTTTTCAGCCACTATTTCTTGAGGTTTTCAGCCACTATTTCTTGAGATTCTCAGACTCTATAAAACCTTCATCCTACTGTACGTGCTGCGAACGGGCTTGGTTTTGCTCTGTTTGATCCCAGCTGCGAACGATTTGTCTTACGTTGCTTTCAATGGTGGTACTAAGAGCTGACCATTTATAAAGCACTGGCAAACTACTGAACATAAAATGTGTCTAAAAAAAAAAAAAAACTACAACATCTAAAAATGTTCGGGTTGGTTCTGCAACGTCCTGTAAACTTAACACAACTAACTTAACTGTAGGTGAATAAGAAGCAGATGTTGTACGGTTCACAGTTGCATCTTTAGTTCAGAAATGTGCAGACTGAAGCTGACAGGTGTCTGTTGTGTCCACTAGTGTGCAAGTATGACCGCAAGGGCAGCGAGAGTCCCTGCAACACCACCACCAACGCCATGACCATCACCCTGAACCTGCGGAAGGGGGACCCTGCATCCTGCGCACCCAGCAAGACTGTCAGCAAGTCCTGCAATGACAAGAGCCAGACCAAGAAGAAAAAGGTTAAGGGTGAGTTTTGTTCACATGAAAGAAACAGGCAATTATGTTTAGAGTCACCCTGGTGTAGCGGCTAGACACTGGCCTGCGGATCAGAAGATATTGGGTTCGGGTCCTGACAGACCAAACTTTTTTTTTAATGACCCTCTCTTCCATGTCAACCCAGCCTGGAGGGAGTGCCAAGTGTAGTCCAGGGAAGTAAAGGTGGCTGTCCTGATTCTAACCACATCACACACACCCCCCCCCACCCCCCAGTGCCGATTGGTCTAGGAAATATTGGTCTAGCCCTCTGTGCCCATTAAGACGTGGAAGAGAAGCTTTTACTTGTACTGGACACAACAGTCTTTGCAGCCGTATGTACAAGACGGGGAGTCAGAACTTTGTCAGTGTGGACAGGCATCACAGAATACCGAAGAAGTGCTACGGACATACTCTCTACATTCAGTAGAGAGATCCCAAGTTTGGCCCCTTGGCATTCTGATGGAAACCAAGCTGTATGGAACGCATCACATCACAGACTTCATAGAGCCCTGCTGCCTTCCCATTGGAAAAACCCCTTGCAGAAGAACAGAGTTTTGTTCACTTGGTGCAGCAATGTCCAAGGCTTCGACCATGGTCTGCTAGTTGACTGGCAGACTGTGAGGGCTAGCTTAAAATGGTTTGGACCATATTGTCTTTTCATTTCAGAAATCACAGCTGACACTCGACGCACAGGAGAAGTGCAAGGGTAACACGGACATACAGTCAGATTGCTACTTGTATCATCAGTAGTGAAACTCTGTGCTGGCTGCTGAAAGTGGGGATAGAACACTGTGATGTCTTTTCTTAACGTAGCTCATTCAGATATCAATGGTGATCTGCTATGTATATATTTATATATATGTTATGGATGTCAGGAGTGGTAATCACATGATATAGTGCAGACAAACAGGTAAGGTCAAATGATAGTTTTAATATGATTGCCCCACTTTTGACCTGCACTAAAGAGGAGCAGTATTCTGATATTTTTTTTTTTTTTTTTTAATCATTGAAGAGGTGAAGCCTTAATTTGTGAATTTCTATATGTAGTGATGTTGCTTGATTAACACTCTTGACAACCTTAACACCAATATTGACAGTTTAAATGACAGTGGCATAGTTATTGTATTCTCTGCCACATTGAAAGTTTTAATTTGTGATTAAATGGCAGTAGTTGAACATTTGTCAGAAGAGAGTGGTGAAAATTGTAAGATGTGATTAAGTGGGAGCATTGAAGATTCTAAGATGTGATTAAGTGGGAGCATTGAAGATTCCAAGATGTGACTGAGTGGGAGTGGTGAAGATTCTAAAGTGTGATTAAGTGGGAGCATTGAAGATTTTAAGATGTGACTGAGTGGAAGTGTTGAAGATTCTAAAGTGTGATTAAGTGGGATCATTGAAGATTCTAAAGTGTGATTAAGTGGGAGCATTGAAGATTCTAAGATGTGATTAAGTGGGGGCATTGAAGATTCCAAGATGTGACTGAGTGGGAGCATTGAAGATTCCAAGATGTGACTGAGTGGGAGCATTAAAGATTCTAAAGTGTGACTGAGTGGGAGTGTTGAAGATTCTAAGATGTGACTGAGTGGAAGTGTTGAAGATTCTAAGATGTGATTAAGTGGGAGCATTGAAGATTCTAAGATGTGATTAAGTGGGAGCATTGAAGATTCTAAAGTGTGATTAAGTGGGAGCATTGAAGATTCTAAGGTGTGGCTGAGTGGGAGTGTTAAAGATTCTAAGATGTGATTAAGTGGGAGCATTGAAGATTCTAAGATGTTATTAAGTGGGAGCATTGAAGATTCTAAAGTGTGATTAAGTGGGAGCATTGAAGATTCTAAAGTGTGACTGAGTGGGAGCATTGAAGATTCTAAGATGTGATTAAGTGGGAGCATTGAAGATTCTAAGATGTGATTAAGTGGGAGCATTGAAGATTCTAAGATGTGATTAAGTGGGAGCATTGAAGATTCTAAAGTGTGACTGAATGGGAGTGTTGAAGATTCTAAGATGTGACTGAGTGGGGGTGTTGAAGATTCTAAGATGTGACTGAGTGGGGGTGTTGAAGATTCTAAGATGTGACTGAGTGGGGGTGTTGAAGATTCTAAGGTGTGACTGAGTGGGAGTGTTGAAGATTCTAAGATGTGATTGAGTGGGAGTGTTGAAGATTCTAAGATGTGACTGAGTGGGAGTGTTGAAGATTCTAAGATGTGACTGAGTGGGAGTGTTGAAGATTCTAAGATGTGACTGATTGAAAGTGGTGATGAATAAAATCATATTGTAATCTGGGCATACATAATTTGTTTGATTTTGTCTTTTCTAGGCTGTAAGTATGAGCGAAGGGGCTCTGATTGGACAGAGTGTGATGCCACCACAAATGAAAGGACAAAGGTCATGAAACTGAAGGCTGGGTCCAACCCTGAATGCCCAGAAACTCGTAGCAAGATAAAGTCTTGTGGCAACAAACAGAAGGGATCCCGCCGGCCCAAGAAAGGTGACTTAGTTTGATATATCACTTTTTACTTTTTTCTTACATCTACTCACTGCCGCAGAGATGAGAGTCTTAATGGAGTATAAACTAATCTTAAGTTTAGGCTAGGCAATGGATCAACATCATGGCAGACGGAGTATAGAGCACGGCTCTTCTGGTCTGGCAGCTTCTGCAGCGTTTATTGTTCCAAATGTATTAGTTTATTTTTCATTTGGAGTCAAAACCATTGAGGCCTTCTTTGTGACATTTCCTATGGAGTTCAGAAATCAGACAGAGAGGAATTATGGTCTCTACAATACTGTCCCAGAGAGAGGAGAGGAGGGACTTCATTTCTGGCCCTGTTTGGTGTCACTGTAGGACTGAAACACTGTTGTAGGAAAAGATAGAAAGCTGTCAGCTACAAACCTTACAGCTTTTTAAGCGCCTTTGGAGCAGTCAACTCTACATGCTAATGATGCAGATGATTTAACTATTCCCAGCCAGGGACACACTAAGTCTTACAGCCAGGGACACAGTCTTACAGCCAGGGACACACTAAGTCTTACAGCCAGAGACACACTAAGTCTTACAGCCAGGGACACACCAAGTCTTACAGCCAGGGACACACCAAGTCTTACAGCCAGGGACACACTAAGTCTTACAGCCAGGGACACACCAAGTCTTACAGCCAGGGATACACGAAGTCTTACAGCCAGGGATACATGAAGTCTTACAGCCAGGGACACACTAAGTCTTACAGCCAGGGACACACTAAGTCTTACAGCCAGGGACACACCTAGTCTTACAGCCAGGGACACACCAAGTCTTACAGCCAGGGATACACTAAGTCTTACAGCCAGGGACACACCAAGTCTTACAGCCAGGGACACACCAAGTCTTACAGCCAGGGACACACTATGTCTTACAGCCAGGGACACACCAAGTCTTACAGCCAGGGACACACCAAGTCTTACAGCCAGGGATACATGAAGTCTTACAGCCAGGGACACACCAAGTCTTACAGCCAGGGATACATGAAGTCTTACAGCCAGGGACACACCAAGTCTTACAGCCAGGGACACACCAAGTCTTACAGCCAGGGACACACCAAGTCTTACAGCCAGGGACACACCAAGTCTTACAGCCAGGGATACATGAAGTCTTACAGCCAGGGACACACCAAGTCTTACAGCCAGGGATACATGAAGTCTTACAGCCAGGGATACATGAAGTCTTACAGCCAGGGACACACCAAGTCTTACAGCCAGGGACACACCAAGTCTTACAGCCAGGGATACATGAAGTCTTACAGCCAGGGACACACCAAGTCTTACAGCCAGGGATACATGAAGTCTTACAGCCAGGGATACATGAAGTCTTACAGCCAGGGACACACCAAGTCTTACAGCCAGGGACACACCAAGTCTTACAGCCAGGGACACACCAAGTCTTACAGCCAGGGACACACCAAGTCTTACAGCCAGGGATACATGAAGTCTTACAGCCAGGGACACACCAAGTCTTACAGCCAGGGATACATGAAGTCTTACAGCCAGGGATACATGAAGTCTTACAGCCAGGGACACACCAAGTCTTACAGCCAGGGACACACCAAGTCTTACAGCCAGGGACACACCAAGTCTTACAGAAGGATACTTGAGCAACTTAGTATGCACCATTTGCCTGTGATCACGACCGGTCTATCTGTTTCGTCTTCTTCTTCTTTATTTATCTGAGTATGTTAAGTACCTGTTTACAACATGAATGTGTTTTTTGCGCCTTTCGGCCAACATTTCTGACTTCTGCTGGAATTTTTTGCTGGTAAGCCTTCCCGATGTCTCTGTAAGGCTGCTGTATTCACTACATAATTTGCACATTATAATTCAACAAATCTTTGTTTTTTTCCCAATAGATTCATAAATGAGTGATCACACCATTAGTTGGAGGCAGGAAAACAAAAAGAAACACACAGAATGAGAGAAGGAAGCCATACTCAACATAAATAGAGAAGTCACCTGTGTCATTTTATTTTGTGTACTACCATTTGAATTTTCTTTTTTACAGTGACCAGTTGGGAAATGTTGCCCCTTTGGATTATGAATGTATTTTTGGGTGGCTTTGGTTTGGTTTAAGAAAATTAAAACACTTGCCTTTTTTTAGATTAACCTGTTTATAGTAAAATCAGGAATTTTAAATTGTTAAAAGAATGATGATATGGAAAATAACCATTAGGTGAACAGCCTTTCCGAGGCATTGTTATATATACTCAGTATTCGTTTTTAATGAAGGTCACACTTTTTCTCGGGCTTCACCAGCCAATACGTATGCTGGTTGTAAGGTCACGAAGATCATGTTCGAGGCATGACTTGCAGTTTCAGGCAGCGATGTGAGACTGAAAGCTGTTGTATTTTTCAAATTCATCGTCACTGAGTGTGGGTTGTCATTCATTTTGTTTTGCACAACTCTGTCCCATCTGTAATTTTTCATTCACTTGATTGTAGTTGTCGACAGTTTGTCTTCATACGCAAGCTCTAATCTCAAGCATTGCTGTGACTGTCTATTTTTATTGTTCATTAAAGCAAGCTTTTGTTGTTGTGTGAATTAGAATCTTGAGTAGTTGTTAGTCAGATAATTGGCACAGTGAACTCTTCATTTAAATGGATTTGTTAGGGTAGACATAACAAACGTCAAGGGCCTGAACTACGAAACCTTATGAAAATGCTCTAATTTCATATACAAATTCTCACTTTATAGATGGTATGGTCAGTGTTGCACCAGCTGCCTTTAATCGCTAGGACATTTCCTGATGGCTGTTTTTGTTTAGGTCAACCTTGGAGACCAGATTAACTTTTACATTCTGTCTCAATTAAGTTGTTCAAACCTAGAACCACTGCACTGGATGGCAGGCAAAGAAGGCCCTCCAGTAATGCCCTGTGGCAGGTATATTAAACATAGACTTTAGGCATTTATTTTTTATTTTTTGGTAAATTGGTTAAAATGCCAGGAAAGTACAGTATTCTTTAAAAGTGAATTTCTCACAGAATGTTTAAGGCTGCAGATTCTAAAGCTGTCCTGATGTTTGTAAATGCATCACAAAAGTTCAACTTTCACATTGAAACAGTTTGTGGGGCAGGATTTATTAGCTCATAGTTGGAATCACACCTTTTGGAGCTTAGCTTTGTTGGTTTTGTCAAAATGTCAGAAACAACAAGTATATGAAGATAATTGATTCTGCTGTTGTTTCGAGTACCTATCTAGAATGTTTCATGATGTGTGAAACATAATGTCAGCTGTCATCCGAATATCATAAAAGGAGAATTTAAAAAGTGCAATTCCTGGGAAGTTGTTATTTACGGCTGTAGTGAAACCTGACAGCTTAATTTATGTCAATGAATGGGATGGAAAGAGGTTTTTTTAACCATTGAGAGTTAGCTAGACTCCTGTGACATTTTTTAAGGTAGTTTTCTATGAGTTATTTGGACAGATAGATTTCTGTGAACAATTTGAACAAGTAGATTCGTGGGAATTATTTGGACAGGTAGATTTCTGTGAATTATTTGGAGGTAAATTTCTGTAAACCATTGAGTTGTCTAGATTCCTATCAATGGAGCTTTTTTACCTTTAAAAAAAGGTAATGGTGCGTACCACAAAATGTCTCTTCAAGCAGCAGTGGGGAAAAAACCTTTTTAAAAGTGCTGGTATTGCATACTGCCAGAAGAAAGCACTGCTTGCAAGCTACAGATATTTGGCTAGATTTGATTTTGCATATGATGTAGACTTAGTTTGGTTTTTGTCATTTTGCCATTGCAAGTTTCCTTGGTAACCTTTTTCTGTGAACTATTGAAATTTAGTCAAATATTTTTGTGGATATTGGAACACACTGAGTCAGCTTTCATCCAAACACTAGAGATTTTCTATACCTTATAATGTACAGTACGAGAATAAAAACTATCATCCCACCACATATGGTTTACATACACACACATAACAATCAAATGTTTGATATATTTCACCATTTTAGCCCTCCCTATTGGTGTATATTCTAGTTTTATGTGGTCTGTGACTTGTAATTCTCCTAGATGTGTTATTTTTGTGTCAGCTTTTTTTAAAATTGCGGATGTTTTCATGGCTGATGTGTCTCGTACAATGCTCCTGACATTATTGTATTTCCCACTGTGTAAACTGTTTTCAGTAAATATTAGTTTATTAAAAACAGACCATGAATTACTAGAAAACAAATCCTTACTCTTCAGCAGAACTGCGAGGTAGTTAAGGTAGCACTTGTTCTAGCTATTACTGCTGCTCTAAATATACCTGCTTTGGAGGTTGAACAAGTGTCTGAAATTTGCTATGTTGAACTGTCATTCAAGATAGTGGTGTCATGTCAGCTGACTTTGACAGCTGAAAGAAAACAGTCAATATGATATTCAAGCTTTAGAAAATAACTGCATCTATTGACAACATAGGAATAGCAGCAAAGGGAAATCATCCTGTACTTACTTCTCGTGAAGTTACATGGGTGGTGAAGTCTTCAGGTAGTAGCCCAAAGGGGACACTCAGAACAAAATGAGCAAGATCGTCACCATTCACTTGTTAGCCACGATACTCTGCTACTCTAACTTCACGTCGATTTGATATCACATTGGCTGTAATAGTGTCAAACATAATATAAAACAAAATGTGTGATAAAAGCACTTAAAATTTAATACAATTTAATACTTTGATTTGAGTTTAAAAGTTCAGGACCATTATTTCCAGAATTAGAAGTCCACATTCAAATTTGAGAAGAAATAGAACATTATATGCCATCATATTTTAAGATTGATCTTTTTTTTTTTTTTTTTTAAACTAAACTAATTTTATATAAATATTTTTTGACTGTATTTTTGATATTTATTTTTGTTGTACACAACAGCATTAAAGCACTTATGTTTATTTTTTTCTCACTGTTGTTTAAAAGTAATAGTATTATCACCATATACCAACAATATATAACAAATAACATCTGTACTTACATTAGATATATTTTATATTCAAATTTGTTGCTGATATCCATTTGATACTGTCATTTATTAGGATTAGTTGTAATTGTTTTTCAGACATTAAATATGGGATAAGTTGTAATTGTTTTTCAGACATTAAATATGGAAAATGTTCAATCTTATTTCCAAACAAACAGAAATTCTAAAGTTTGTTGATAGTTGTTGAGTTGCCAGGTGCACTGCAAACCTGACCAGATACTGCAAAATGTAACATGGGAAGCAGAAGTAACGATCACAAATGCTGGCCTGTCACATCACTGAAAATGAATCTCTCATTTCATGCTTTTCTCATTTTGCTTGACTTCTAAAAATTTGAAAACAACTCTCTGTACATGAGTGGCTAGTCAGAATGGCTTACATTTGTTTGAAAATCTGGCCAGCTACCTGTTGCAAAGATGCTTAAATATCAAATTGTGGAGTTGTTGTTTTTTTTTTTAAATCTTTTTCATGGAGAAACAATTAAACTTTGGCTAGCTTTATATTATTGTTGTGTTGTGTTAATGGACACTATATTTGTTTATTAATTTCTGATCTGTAGCAGAGGGGTCCAGGCACTGAAACTGAGGGCTTCAGACATCTTGAGGCCCTACAACCCTCTACTATATCTTGAGTTTTATTGGGCACTTAGGGTTAGACCTATATTTTATAGACCAGTCGGCACTTGGTGGGGTATGTGGTCAGCGTCTGTACTTCCCTTGACTGTATCTGGTACCCACTCAAGGCTGGGTCAACCTGAGAGCCAAGGTTTTTTTGAAGAAAAAAAATCAGGACCCGAAACTACGATCTTCCAGTCCATAGGTATCTAGCTGCAACACCATGGTGGCTCCCACATTTGTAGGTGTCAAGGGAAGTCAATAAGTAAGTCAAAAATGGTTGTTTAAAAACTAAGGACAATGACAACTTTGAAACCATTTATTTTTACATACAGATTGTCCCCTTATTTTTCAACATAATTTCCACTAACAATGATACACTGGTCCCATCGTTTTATCAATCCTCCCAAACCTGCTGCATAAAACTTTGTGCTCTGTTTTCAAAAACAACTTTTCACTTTACATTCAGCTTCTGCATCATTCGCAAAATGTTTCCCATCACGGTGGGTTTTCAGTGGACCCAGCTATGCACAGCTTTGCGGGATAAGCATTTGTCAGCATTAAATGGAAGCATTTCCTTATGAATGTCCTTTGCGGGCAGTCCTTTTGCCCCCCAAAACGCGCAACATCATGTTGTAGTGTGAGGATGCACTCCATAAGTACAGTCGCCATTTTGTTTATGTGTTGAGAATGCACATGCAATACCTAGCACCACCTAACTAACAGAGACATAAAGTTCTATGTTTTTGCCACCTAATGATATCTTTAGAAACAACCAGCTACATTTTTCTGCCATCCCATAACCATTTGTGACTTATTTATTGACTTTCTCTCATACTTCATTAAATTCATTTGCCATTCAGTGATAATAATTACTATTTGCCTCCTCTCTGCCCTCTAGAGTTTTAAGTAACTAAGGCCACCCAGCCCTCAATTTGTGTGTGTAAGTTGCTGCCCGTGACTCACTTGTACCATGAGCTTGAATGGTTCATGTCCTCATCTGATAACTTCTGGCATGAGTACAGTCAGTCGACCTCTGTAACATTATACAATTTGGCAAACCCTGAGACGGAATGATTTAACAAACTTGATTTTCAAAGG